CCCCCCCCCCCCCCCCCCCCTCCCCCCGGTGTTTGCCATCGGGATTGGGTTTTCGTCACGTGGCAACGACGTTGTAAAACAAGCCGATTCACTTCGTGAACTCGGCAACCAGGTTACCGGGGGTTTTTTACCTCTGGTTTTTTTTTGCGGTAACCATCATGGTGGTCGAGTAGATTATGTTGTGCGGGGTCGAGAGCCCTGCAAAGGGGATGATCGCACCACGTTGTGTTACATTGGTCAAGCACCCTCGAGGCAGTTACACAGTGCGTATGCCTTTCTCTGGCAGTGAAAGCACCAGAAAATAAATTAAGCCATACGCAGCTGTCATCCGTAGGCAAGGAAGTAAGTGTAGGATGCCGAACACCCTTAGTAGGATGCAGCGCACCCTTCATGCGACTCGCCGAATACCTCACGGCGCTTCGCGCTTGGTGATGTGAGAGCCTGGTCCGGTGAGAACCCGGCGTGCTCCGTCCCGGCTTTGTAGGGGTGCGAGGTCATTGGTCTAACGACTACGGCATGCACGACTATGAGAACACCCCCCCCCCGCCCACCCAAAACAAGTTTGCTGAGGAATAGCGCAATAAATGGTAGTTGTCCTCGGGCGACTCGTTTAGAACCCGTTGTAAACTCTGTACCAATTGTGGTTGTTTCGTTGACGCGCCCCCACACGCTGCTGAATGGGTCCTCTCCGTTTTGCAATACGCACACGAATGCGTTAGGAAGTGTATGAGGCAATTGAGTGCCGGCACCAGTGGACGTGCTGCTGTTGGTATCCTGAGGGGGGTATTACTGGTGTCTAGCGACGAAACCTTCTGTCGAGTCACATCCGGACGCGCGAACCGTCATCGTGCGGTGCCTTGAATGAGTACATTTTCTCAGGCCTCTGTGAGCTTCAAATCGATACCGAGCACCATAGATGCCGCACGCCTGAATACCCATTGAAATCCTATCGCTAGACTTTCACCGGCTATGGCGCAGAGGTTTACGCCAAAAACAAACACCGTACGAGTTAAGGAAAATAAAAACACACACAGAAAGACTACCCATTCGAGATATACCCACAGTTGAACGGGATGTGGCGGAGTCTTTTCAGAGAGTGGAGGAAACCCGGCTAGGTACTGGACTTATTTCGGGTCCTTTTAAGTCTTACATGTACGAGTGTAAGTCTACACACGTAAGAGCGAACCTTGCTTCCCTGTTTTCGAATGGGGGGCCAGCATCACCGTGACTTCGCAACCCCATCTTTTGGCCTCTTTTAAATTCCTTGCTCGTCGATCTCGTGGATAATATGATACCTGTGCGGTAAGTCCTCCCCAAAACCCGATCACAAAATATACATTGTGAACAAAACACCCCCGTCTTCAATATATATCGAATTGCCTGAATATTGTCCGCGGGTAACGTTGAGCACATATTCCGCCTCCCTTCAACTCCTCGATCCGCGCCCAGTGTGAGTTAGGTTGCCAGAAATAAAGTCTCTACTGGGCGAGCTCAACAGGATAAGGAGACTAAAACAAACGAGCTGCGACCAGCTGTTGTCGACGACCAACGCATGCAGTGCAGAACAGTTTAAGGTTGCATAAATCTGGGTCAAACCACAAGGACGGAGGTCAACGAGAGAAAACCCGTTTCGAGTTAGTCAGATTTCGACCTGCAGAGAGTTCGCCGTACAAAGTGCGGGAACATAATAAAATGTACGCACATAGAAATCAATGCGAAGAGAAGATGAAACCTTGTGGACATATGCATACCTGCCAGTCAAACTCGTGACGGAAGCCAACTGGCTGGGCGTCGTCTGGTGCCGTCACCCTCGCTCGTTTGGGATACCTCCTCGGTTTTGGCTCCTGTGTGTGGCGGACAGCGGCGAGAAGAAGAAAGCACGGAAGGGCATAATGCTAGGTTCAGGCGACGCTGTCTATGAGTCCAACATACGGAAAGGCCACAAACTCCCCAAGGACACCCAAAAGTTTGATAAGCTGTGACGTAGGGTCGATCGACGAAATTCCAAACCCCAAATGTGCAGCGCGGCACTGAGCGAGCGAACCAGGAACGAAGCGGAAACAGATAAACCACGCCGATTCTGCGCACGGAAGCAGAATTCACCACCTCTTCTTACGTGGCGAGGCAACCAAATATCGCTGCAGGCTAGTTCTGTACTTGAAAAAAAACCAAACCGACATATCTCTATTCGTTACTTAGCTGAAGAACACCAAACGTTCAGATGTTCGATGCACCTTCAAAGCGTACCTGCATGCCGCTGTCATGGGAATCCTGAACCCCGTCTTCGGTTTTGATCGCCGTAGGGGCCGGAGGTGTAGACGATGGTGTCCGTGCAGGCGCAGGCGACACGCCGCGTACCTCCAGAGGGGAAGAGGACGGCACGGTAGTTGCTGCAGGAGCACTTAATGCCTGGGCTTTCGGGAAAGAACCCAGGCACTGGGCTGGACGAAAGGAGGCGGCTGCTGCTGCTACCACCGCTGCCGCTTCCTCTGCATCATAGCTCCATGTCGCTGAGCTGGTCCAAGATAAGGCCGTTTCGAGATGCTTTGGCGAGGCGATCGCAGCGGGGGGGGGTTGGATGGGCGCCCCCCCCGAGGCTTGGTTGAGGTTAGGTGGGCCGGCGCCGCCTGGGGCAGTCGCGGGGGTGATTGGAGCTCCCCGTTCGTCGTGGTTGAGGTCCGGGGAGCCAACACTAGCTGCAGGGATTGAAGGGGGTGCGGAATCGACGGAGGGGGTCTCGTTGAACCTCGGGGAGTCGGTGCCAGCGACTGTGTTGTCAGCGGATGGCAAAGTCTCCGAAGATAGTAGGGGCGTGTGCCTGATCTTGAAGCCACCAATCCACCTGGACGCCTGCAGGCGCAACCAGCGAGGGTTGTTGCCAGGGACGACACCATCTTGTCGACGCTGGCACTCGTCGCAGGGTCGCGTGCCGCCGTCGGAGACTTTGAGCTCCGCCCGGCATTGGCCGTGGGTCTGCATGCCGCAACCGAGGCATCTCTCGGTGCTGCTGCCCATCGTGACCATTCCCGGCGTCCGGTTGTCGTGGAGGCAGATTGGGCACCACGGCTGGTTTCCATGCTTCTGCATTACGGTACCCTTGCCCTTGAGAGACGCGTGGAGGTGTGCCGCACTAGGACCACGCTCGCCGTCGGGGCAGCACGCCAGGACGGGGGGGGGGATTGCCTCTTGCGTGGGTCATAGCCAACGCATGCGGCATGAAAAAGCTTGTTGCATGCCCGACAACTAAAGCTAGGCCGACGGCCTGGGTCTATGGGGATGCGACAAGCCTGGCAGGGGCTCAAGTTGCCCCTGTCGCTAATGCCTTTGGTTCTCTTGTTTCTGCTCGTGCTCCTGCTGCGATTCTTGGTGGTTTTGCTCCTTGCCGTCGCGTATTTTCTGCTGCTGCTCCTGCTGCTGCTGCTGTTGCGAGCTGGTGGCCATGAGGAGAGCAGCTTCCGCGCCGGCGGCGTCACTGTTGCCATACTACGTTGACCTTGAGTGGTGGCGGTGCTATGCTGCACAGGGGTGTGGCTTGAAGATGCAGTGCTGGCAATCGAGTGTGAAGTGATCCCTGTCGCACCTGCTCCTGCTTTTGCTACGACGTCCGGGGCATCAGCGCTGGGGGTGATCGGTACGCCTCCTGCACGATAAGCCACAAACATGGCCCCCTGCCACAATCATCGAATGAACAAGCGCAAATGTATTCCTCAGCGCAATAGTTATAAACGAAGAAATATTTCGTCGTTGGGCATGTACTAAACCACTGCTCGCCGAACCCCTGGTCATTTCATACTTCACCCTAACTATGCATCTCAGTCAAGATGGAATACCGGAAAAGATTGAGAGCCACCTCCACTGTTTGTGTCACACTGCTCCATAGCCGACTCGTACCACAAATCAGTGTTATCTCCACTACTCGATTCATAGTTAGAGCTCTACAGTAGGAGTGTTGTGGAGAGTTCCTGACCTAGACGTCGGTAACCCTCGTCGGAGCGGGGCTGTACGAATGTTTGGCGTGACATCACATGTTGTCAGCATACCTTGCTGTCTTTGGGGATCAAGTTCAGCAGCAAGTCGTCGGAGTCGACTGCGTATAGCTCCCCATCCACCTTGAGCTGAATGCCTGGATCGATGGCCGGCACGTGGCAGCGAACAAAACGAGAAAAACAAAAACCACAGTAGGCGTAGTTGGTGAAAACAGAGTATCGGGGTGACAAACCCAATACGTGCCAAACCTGACCAAAGGTCAACGAACCAGTGGTCTAGATGTACCGAAAAATCGTTTAAAAAGGGCCGAGGAGCTACTATAACAACATAGTACCAGGCACCTTTGATTAGACAGCTCCGGGGGCGACTCAAAGGAAGGGCGGTGATCGTTTAGAAAAAAGGACGGTCGCCACGGGCGAAAAGACTCCTCAGGGTGCTCTTTCTGCTTGTTCTACGCCAGACACAAGGGACACATCTTCATCCGCAGATAACTCGCGCTAGGATCCGCGATGTTGGGGCCTATACAGCAACTCTATACGATAGACACACAACAAAAAGGAGAGAAATCGATCGCGACATGGCAGACGAGGGGTGTGGGAGCGAACGGTCTTGATCGCAACATCGGTCGGGACCGAGCGGCATCATCAATGGTTTAGAGGAAGAATTATCGCTTGATGCTCGGTGAGTCCTGCGGTGCCATACGGCGTCTTGACGTTTCGCAACGGCAGGACTGTGACCGCGTAACTCGTGGGTTTTGCCGGCAGAAGGGCAGAGGTCATGCTCTATCTGAACCTGATGCTCATGTTTTCATCGTGACAAATAACCGAACATCTCTAGAAAACGCGACGCAGAAAAGGCTACAATGCTGTGTACCTATGGACAGCCCTGGGGTAAACGTGCGCGACAGTACGAGCTAAACTAAACGCACAAATCACCAAATCACCAAATCACCAAATCACCACCGGCTGCGACCAAGCCAACGAAGAATCATTCTATGCCAGCTGCAAATGCTCCCTCTGACCGTGGTTCCATACGTGTCTTACCTATGGCGGCCTTTGGGCTTTCCGTGTCTTCCTGGCGAAGCTTGTTCTGACGGGCCTCGACGGCCCTGTTGATTGCGGATTCGGCGGTTATTACAAGAACAGCTTCGTGAGTGCCTCACCCTTGAGAGAAAGCGGATTGAAAAAAGTCGTGGACCAAACGAAAACTAACCCCACCTTGTGGGTTTGAAAACCGCAGCACAAGACAAGGCAAGAGCCCTACCTCTTTTCAATCTAGTTTTGGCCTCATATCCAAATGCGTCACTCTGGACCGCTGGTTCGAACATTTTGCAAGGCTTTGCCGCGTATCCCTGAACTCATTGACTCGACTCGAAAAACTAACTAAAAAAAGAGAGGGAGAACCACGGCTCTTCCTTCTTTTACATTGATGCGGTCAAGTCTTGGTCGCGAACCGGACAACAAGCTTCCTAAAGAGTCGACCTCTCCAACGCATGGCAGAGTCAGTAGATACCTCACTGCTGATTATCTTCAGTGGGGAGATATCGCCAGTTTCGATGAGGGAGGGGGGTTCCGCAGATGGATTTAGGTGGAGGTACCGACATAGAGATTTGGTCGCCATCTGCCTCGATCCTGGATCTCCATCCAGCAAACAAGATTGGAAAAATCAAGCAAAATAAGACTTCAATTTCGGAGATTGATGCGACGAACCGTGTCAATTTTCAACGCTGGTTTGGTGATTGAAACTGGGTTGAAACGCGATTGTGTGGGGATTTCGTTCGCAGTTTGGGACGTTGGGGGAGCTTTGCGGGCATCTCTCTTCAACACGATTCAGCGCCCGGGTGCCGATTGATAAAGCTTGATGCCCCAAGAAATGCCCAGAACTCCCGCCGCGGCTTCATATTGCGGTGACACTTGAAGGAATTCCAGCCCGCGGGCGGGTGGGCACATGCAGCAATGAGCCAAGTACCATCCTCTGCGCCACCCCAAAGTAGCGGGGAAACGCTTAGATTCAAATTACAGCTCCACAGGCATTTTATTCTCCCTGCTCTCGAAGTATGTAACCCCGGGCCTTACCACAGCCACCGGAACTCAACCTTCGAAGCGGCAACGGCACTTGGGCAACCACTCTTTGCCCTGACAAGATTCCACATGATTGACACACCTTTGGAGATCAGCAACACTCGATGCACCAGGCAGTGGGATACACCAAGGCAAGACACCGTCCCCTCTGGCTCCCACGCGCCACGGGGTTGTCATGTTCCATAAACCACCTCGCCGGACTAGTGCAGGGAACGAATTCAGGAAGAGGGGAACCCTTGCCCACAGCCAGATCGGGACAGGAAGGGCGGCACGTGGTAACTCGATAGCGACCGCGCAAGTGTGGAAGAACCAGCAGGCCAAGTGAGACAGAACAGACATATTTGGCGCGAGCCAAGGGGGCTCGTCAAGTGCACAGGTTGATGCACGGCTACCCCCCCCCCCCCCCCCCCACCCATTTTTTTCGGAAGCTTAAACCAGTTTGGTCATTTCCGTCCTTCCCTTGACTTTTAAAGTGGAATGAGTTCTAACATCCGAAAAACAGCTAGCACCGGGTCATGGACCCCGTTCAAAATCCCTTGTCTTGCAGAACCAACACACATATGGGGATACCTGCCCCTCTCCCCCCTATATAATGTGATGTAAACAGCTTCAAGGGACATATCAATCGGCAGCTGGCAGCTACTTACTATTATAATACCACAATAGTACGAGCTGCGGGCTGGGTGATCCTCCTGTCCTGCTGCCTGCGTTTAGTTCATCGTAGGCTGCATACATACATACATCATTACCCAGTGACGACGCTGTTGTTTCTCCTTGATGAGCATACAGAATGGTACCAAAGACAGCATGTATGTCATCTACGAATGTATGTTCGTGTATGATATTAGAAACAAGTTCACGACGCCTACAGCAGCAGCAGCAGGTAGATACTTGCAGTAGTTTCCGCCGACGGGAATTTTTGTATGTATGGTGGATAAAATGGGAAGAGATCATCGGCGGCGAGTGTTTTGTCGTCCTCCTCGCGAAACGAATTAATTATTTTTGTTCGGTCATCACAGCAGGCTTGACGAAAGGAAATAGTCTACTGAGTATTCCATATCCGGAGCTCCCGGAGCAAGGAATGGTAAAACAAAATAGTCCACTTAGTCTAGATGGCATGCAGCGCGGAACGATGAAAACACACACCGGACCGGGTTCTACCCTCTGCCTGTTCCTTTGCACTCAAACAGCTTCAGCAGCTACGAGCATGGATTTAACACGTAGTCACCCGACCCGCTTGCATCAAAGTGACCTAACAGCACAAAAAAAAGCATGTGCTTGTACCCTCCCGATGCAACGAAACTAAAAATGAGCAACACATGTTATGCACTGCTGCTCAAGATCCCTAAATCCAAAAAACATCGTCGTCATGACGAGGTTGGCCTGTTGCCCGTGCGGTGCTGCCACCGACATGGCCGCTAGCACCACCCTCGGATGTTCGCGGTCGCGCCGTTCCCCTCGCTCCTTGGTGGTTATCGCCTGACCGCTTCCTGGAGGGCGTCCTGGCCGTAGAGGAGTTTCTGGCGCCCGGACGTGGAACGACGGCCAGCAGGTCGAAGACTTGCTTGCGCTCGCCCTCAGGAATAGTGTAGCTCGCTCGAAAACCAAGAGAACCGCCTTGAAGAACACCGTTCGCCCCGCCATGCTTTTGAGCGATGTGGACGGGCATGAGATACTTCCACACGTGGACGGTGCCCGGCGGACACAACTCGCACTTCATGGGCAAGTTGGTGCATGGCTGGTTGGTTGACACCTTCTTCACTTGCCCAACCTGGATCCCAACATCCATGACCTCCTTGGCGCCCACGCGGGGGGCATGGGGGCACGTAGACGTGCACACAGACGTGGTTTTCCTGCTTCCAGCGCGTAAGGCGCTCGAGCACGTGCCGATCCGCCCGCAGAAACAGCACGTCTCCGGGTTCAAAATCTCCGCGGCGCCGTGACCTGCATCAACGTCCATCTGCGACAAAAAAACAAGGCACGAAGCCAATAAATGTGGTGAACTGAAAGTGGGCCAGAAAAAGAAAGTTCGCTGCATGGACGTGTTTGCCCCAACTTACCGAAGTCGAAGAAGAGCGAAATACACACAAAGGCCTTGGTCACCCCACCCCTCCTCCCGAACGAAAACGGTAACCGCACCTGGGCTTTAAGAACATGCGCAGAGACATGGGGCCTCATCTCCAAGACGGGTATGCTGCACCTGCCGCAGAGGAGACAATCGAGTCTGCTAGGGATGTCCGGCGTATGGCTGCCTCCCTTGAGGGACTCATGGTATGGTAAGTCTGCCGCAGATGTTTGTCTTGCTTTCAACACCTTCGAGCTGGCGTCGGGTGTGGTGTCCACCAACATCTCAAGAGCTTGAAGCACAGCCTTCAGACTATCGAGCGTAAACACGACATTCTCCGCGCTCTCGCCGAACCCGGGATTCAGAGGGAGTGCCAGTGCTGCCGGAATCTTACACTCTTTGCCACCATGCGTTCTTCCTCCATTCCACCGCCACGATGTCTCCGCGCCACCTTGTCCCTCACCACGCTCGGTACCTTCCACAGAGGGAGCACCTACGTTGTCGGTACTGGCGCCGTTGCCGACCGCCTCTCGCAAACGTACCGTAATGCCGCTCAGCAGCTGCGCACTACCCGCAGTTCGATCAACACCTTTGGTTAAGGCAAATATGCAGAGAGCGTGGCTCCCCGTCACGAGCTCCACCAACGTTGCGAAGGGTTGCCCGATCAAAGCGTCCGCCCACATGTCGTCGCCTCCATGTGCTTGTTTCGAGAGGTTCGCGGCCGCCCTCCCCGAATTACCCCGTCCATATCCCCTCACGCGCCTAGCGCGGTCGTTGGAACTCGGGGCGGCGTCGGGTCCCAAAAAGATCCGTGTGACGGTAGTCTTGTGAACCTACGGACGTCGTCAAGAAGAGGGACAAGAGCAGGGATATCACCGCGGAACATCTTCATCTTAAGAGCATTTCCCAGGAAAAATTGCAAAAAAGGAGGGTGGAGGGACAAGTAATGGGGACGTTGACAAAGACAGGCACAAACCATCCCACAGAACCATCCCAAAGTCAGTAACCACTCAACCAGGCTAGCATACACACCTCTTTCCCATCGATATCCACCCAGGCGTCGAAAGGAGTCGACGCCCCGGAGGCTACGCCTTCTAGCAATGGTTCGACATGGCATACGACGTCCGCCTCGCTCATGCCTGTGTTGCTGAGGTCCACCAGCGTATCCGCGTCCACCTCTACCCCCTGCGCACTAGCTGCGGTCGATGTTGTCGACGACGTTGGGGTCTCCTGGGAAACGCTACCCGGGTCCCTTCGCTGCACTTCACCCCCTGGAGTTTGCTCCTCCTGCTCCGACGATTGCCCAACACCAGGCATGCCAGCCCCCTCCCTACACGAAATTCCACCGGGCAGCGGACGACACAGGTATTTGTTGGGGTGTTAGCTGCGGCAACGGAGAACTTACCGCCACGCCTATCGCTCGCTCGCCCGTGAGGACGTCGTACAACAATGCATACACCATAAACCAACAATAGCCTTCGGTCGTAGATGCACTGCACGTGCGAACTCGGGCGATCGACGAACAGGGTCAACAAACCTGGGGTAAACATTGCAGGGTTCGCAAGGCATCGACGGATTGGGTAAAGGCTTGTAGGTTGGGTACCACTCAACGATCTAAAATACATACCACAACGAGTTTTCTGCTCAAAACCTCTGCTAGGTTGTATTTTTTTAGAGCATGCCATGCGGACGGCAACATACGGATCCCTTGGTGCTGCAAATGCCAATGGGTGCAGGGTAGAAACGACCGCTATCGGCCGGACACTCACCTTGGACTTTGGGGTCAAACTCCAACTCCGCGCACAGCTCGCACGGCCCACCGGCAGAAGGGGACTTCCCCGTGCAGCCTTCGCGGTAGATTTCGGACTTGGCGAACAGGCGAACCTCCGTCCCGTCTAGTTGCACCAACCAGGCTAACTTTGCGCTAGCCTGACTATGAATCCCGAACGGGTACCCGAGAAGAGGAGGGTTGGCGACGAGGCCAGGTCTAAACCCCGGGCATGGGACAGGAAGGTTGACGATAGACTGCTCCCCGTCGTCCACCTCTTCGATGTCGTCGATATCGTTGATACGGCCGAAGTCCGGTAAGTTGCGGTTGTCACCGTTGTCATCGTCGTCGAGTGGTTCATCACGACTCCCGTTGCTGTCCTCATCCACACACAGCACTTCAGGGTCTACCGCAGCGGTAGCGACGGGGGCCAAGGTGTTGTCACCTGCGCTCGACGATTCAGGAAGGCTCTCGTTGTTCACCTCGTCCAGACACGCGACTCCAGCACACGCCAATTGTTGCCTCGCTTGCGTACTGCTGGCGACGGGGGGCGAGGCTGCGGCAGCTTGTTTGGGTTTGAACCAACCACGTAACGTCGACGACGCCTTCTTCGCGAGTTTCTGTTCACTGGCCAGCTTCGCCCTGCGAATGATTGTCACATCGATGACAAGAGGATTGCATTTTTTTTTTTAATTCTGTTGAGGCGCAGATATACAATATTTCTCATCACGGGTTTTCACCCCGAAGCTCATCACGACAAAAGACAGCGAAATGAAAAACATCAAACCCGCCGCCAACGCGTAGCACT